AGCGGGGGGAATGAGCGAGCGGCTGCATGGTTCCAAGTTGCCGGCTGGGCTTAAACCACGACACAGGCAAGTCAGGCTTGTATTTCAGTCATGATGTCCGCTCTTTTTCTTCAGTTTCCATCAGGCCTTTGAGTCAGAGCAACCCAACCCTGGAGGTGGGAGAGGAGTGAGCAGTCCTTCTATATTTGGTTAATATTTGCATCTCAAGACTGATACTGGTTACTGTTTTCAGAGGCAGTGGTAATTTTCAAGATGTTTGTTACAAATTAGTCCAGGTAAAACACTGATCCATTCTCAAAAGAGGAGCAATAGTTGGACCTGAGGTGGTGGACAGGGTCTTTGCTCCAGTTTGGCCATCGCTTCTGCTGTCTCGTGCCCATTCTGTCCTACATTCATTGCACTGTTTTCTTGCAGTTTCTGAGAACAAAGCCTTGTGCCACCCCTCTTCTGTCGATTCTCTCTCAACCAGTGCTGCTACAGAGGATCATGTGTCCATGGGAGGATGGGCTGCAAGAAAAGCCTTGAGAGTTATTGAACATGTGGAACAAGGTAAAACTAAAATGCTGATTTCCAGACAGACTTTATATGTGTAACTACATGAAGATATTGGTGCTGTTCTTTTTAGATATATTTTAAGAAAAAAAGGAGTTAATGCACCTGAAAGAACTATCTCAAAAGTATTAAGTACATGCTGGTAAAAACAAGCATTTTGATATTTCTAATAGAAATCAAGTAAATCTAGTGCTAGGTATTTCTTGTGAAACAAAAGTGCTTACTGCAGGACACTTAGCAAAACTTTCCTCTCATGCTTACAAGGACAGATTGCTCTTTTGGTTGGTTGTTTATTTATTTATTTGGCAGATGATGTGCCTACATAGACATGTCAGCTGGTAGTGGAAGAGCAGAGTAATACATGGCACACAAATACTGAACTCACCTACTTAAGTTTTTAAAGCTGAGTGCTCTGAAGACTTAGTTCTTTAGAAACTATTTTTTGTGTGCAGAGAAAAGTTTGAGAAACTGTGTTTCAACAGTGTGCTGAGAAACAGGTTGTCCTAGATCCAGTTGGTTCACTCAGATCCATGGGTGAGTTGGCTTGTGAAAGTGAGGAACTAATGCCAATAATGAATGATATGTGTGAGGTGGCTAGATAAGGTGCAAACTTCTCCAGACAGAAGACTCTCTTCCAGTTCTCTAATTTTACTGGTGCTTCCATGTGGGCTCTTGCAAGCCTCCTAGGCAGAACTTTCTTCTACAGCTCAGGCCCCTTTCTTCTCAGTCCTAAAGAGATTTTCTGATTTATGATGGTCATTAATTTGAGTATTCAAGATAGCCTGGAAGAGATTCCTATGGATTTAAGACTCTAGTGACCAGGAGTTCCTGGCACACTGAACTGCAGAGCACCCAAAATCTGCTTGCTAAAATGCTGGATACTGCTCCCAGCACCATTCATAACACAATCCTGCTGCTGGGCCACCTCTCTAGGGTGTGTGGATCCACTGGTGTGTTCGCATTGCCTGAAACCACGTCATATGATCCAGAATAAATGCCAGGGATAGCTTTGTGAGGGGAAACCTCGCCTTGAGCTAGTCCTGCCAAATACCCCTTTCACTGTCCTGATTTCCTAGTTCTGGCTATTGAGCTGCTCGCAGCCTGCCAGGGCATTGAATTCCTACGCCCTCTGAGAACAACAACCCCATTGGAGAAGGTCTACGACCTTGTGCGCTCCGTTGTGAGGTAAGATCAGATAAACACCTCCCCAGCTGCCACCAGTGGTGGTTAATGTTTGGCCAATGTTCATAATGTGTCTTGTTGCAGGCCTTGGATGAAGGATCGCTTCATGGCCCCAGACATCGAAGCAGCTCACAGGCTGCTTGTGGAGCAGCAGGCAAGTGTGACTTTTGGCACGAGTGGTAGAACCGTCCTGAGGAGCACACTGCATCTCTGCTTTGGAAATAACCCTCTATACAGTCACTGGATGGGCTCACTAAAAGCAGGACTCTGCCTGGGGCAAACCCACCAGATTTCTGGTGTTTGGTTTTCCTTAGTTTTTAGTGGGATAGATTTAGATTTAGTTTAGATTCCTAAACTTGCCCTGTGTACTAAACAGATTACATTATTAAGTCAGGCAGGGTCCAGGCATAAGTCCAACTTTGAATTACTTAAGGGCAGGGTCCTATAACCCCACAAATGTCCACAGAAATCAGCAGCCTCTCCAGATGGTGATCCTCATTCCTGGGGCAGTGAGGGTTCCCCAGCTTTGAGGCCCTTGGGCATGGTCTGGGGCAATAAGGGGACATGGATGAAGGAATAGCCATGGTGAAATGTGTTAACCTGGGCCAAGTGTCTGTATAGCTATGGGATGCATCTATTTTATTTGTTTGTAAAATATAACAGAAGAATTAAAGAAAGTAAGCAAATGGGAGAAGAAACCCCCGCTCTTTTCTTTTTTTTTTTCTTTTCTTTTTCCTTTCCTTTCCTTTCCTTTCCTTTCCTTTCCTTTCCTTTCCTTTCCTTTCCTTTCCTTTCCTTTCCTTTCCTTTCCTTTCCTTTCCTTTCCTTTCCTTTCCTTTCCTTTCCTTTCCTTTCCTTTCCTTTCCTTTCCTTTCCTTTCCTTTCCTTTCCTTTCCTTTCCTTTCCTTTCCTTTCCTTTCCTTTCCTTTCCTTTCCTTTCCTTTCCTTTCCTTTCCTTTCCTTTCCTTTCCTTTCCTTTCCTTTCCTTTCCTTTCCTTTCCTTTCCTTTCCTTTCCTTTCCTTTCCTTTCCTTTCCCTTCCTTTCCTCCTTCTCTTCTCTTCCTGCAGCCCTTAGAGAAAAAAAGACCCAAGAGGCTGTAGAACATTTTGCTTTTCTGCCTTAAAGCCCAGCCACCATCCCTCCTCTTTTAATTTGCCTATGTCAGCTGCTGTTTTGCTTACCCATCCTCTTCATGACCAAGTAGTTCTGTAGCAAGTGATAGTGATCCTCTCCCACCTATTGCACACAGAGCATCAACCTGGTAGCAAGACAAGACACAATGTTTTCACCTTTAATCCTTTCATCTTGTTCCCCCCGGGGCTGTATCTTTTCCTGTCAACTCCATCCATATGCTCTTCCCTAAACCTCACTCTGGCTGCTTCTCTGGTTCTGCTGATCACATACAGCATATCTACATAGGCCTGTAATTCTCATCCATCCCAATAACTTTTCTAACAGGGTTTCCTGAACTTGTGCATTGATGTCTCACCTGACCTTTTGTTTTGCCTTTGACTGCTGTTTCACTTTCTTGTTTTGCAGGTGTGGGAAGTGGCTAAACCTTACATTGAAAAGTACAGGAGGGAACACATCCCTGAATCGAGACCCATTTCACCAACAGCTTTCTCCCTGGGATCGCTGGATCATATGGGTATTTGTCATGACCACAGTCATCAGGATGAACTTTAAGAGAGCAGATCCTTTCCAAGACCTTGCCCAAGGGTGGCTGTTCTACTTGAACTCAATGTGGTTTCTCCAGGTGAACCAAAGGACCTGTCTAGCTCAGGAGCACATACAGATACTGGAGAAATAGCTCACTAGTTTCCTCACATGTGAAAGACAGCCTGTCACGATACTGTGGTTTTGACTGAATTTCCTGAGCTTCTAACACAAAGCATTCTGACTCCTGCGGAAATCAGTGGATGTTTTGTACAGGGCCTCCTGTACTTGTTTTGTCAGCTCTTCTCTTGTTTTCCCCTCCTCTGCGTCAATGATACCAACCAGCCTAGGTTCGATATTCTCACCTTTATTTTTTTCCTTTGACTAACTGCTGTGGTCCCTTTCATTCTGCCTCAAGCAAAATTATCTTTACACTTAATTCTCCTCTCTTTTGCAGATCATGTGTGAGGTACAGGTTCTTGTATAACAGGAGCATTTTTAGAGCAGGTGCTTCGTAAATCAGAAGAGATGTGTGCATGAAAATGCACTTTGGAGATTATTGCTCCAGAACAAAGATGTTGTATTCTGGTGATGGACTACACTTGATGCAGCTTTCCAAGAACTATGGTCTCACGCCTGCAATAAATAAACTGAGGTTTCACATACAACTGCAGCAATCTATTTTTCCTGTCATGTGTGATGATGAAAACGTAAAGCAAAAGCTTAATCTGGAAATAGGAGAGGTGGAACAGGGGCCAAGAAAGCAGAGGGGGAGGAGGAGATGTAGGAGTTGTGGATCTGAACCAGTGCTGAAGCAATAGCACATCTACCCTCCCATGGTTCACCAGCTATCCAAGGGCCCCATCCCCACAGAGGGGCTTGTGTCACAGACTGCTCTATGTTACAATACTGACCTCTATTTTGCAACAGAAGAGTCAGGACTTGGACTTCACGTCATGGTGCAGTGATGACGTGTGAAGACCGGTTAACAAACACCAGCCTTGCCACTACTGACCTGATACTCATGGCTAGAGGGGTTCAGCATGAGCTGGAAATCTCAGGCTGTCAGCTGTGCTGCAAGGGGCAGCAAAAAGTACTAGTATGGGCCTGCCCTTGAGTGTCTGAGAACTGCAGCGTTACATGTGCCCTGAGAAGAGGACCTGTGCCTGTTGGCAACCTGGCCATAAGACCTGGCAACTGGGGTATCTACCCATGGTACGAGAACTTCAGTTCAACTCCTTCCTTCTGCATCTCGTTTGCAACATCTCTGGCCTCTGCCTCTCCCTCAAATGCCAATTCAGTCTCTACCCTTTCATCTGGAGGCTCTGTAGCAGGCATATCCAAATCTCCACCTGAAGCTGTTCCATTCTGTGTAAAATGAGGTATTAATTAAAATCAAGTGTGAGAATGAACAGCCAGGCTTAGAGCTCGTAGGGCCAACATTTGCCTTCAGCCTCATGTTATGGCTAAACCATGTGGTTCCTTCAGCAGCAAAGCCATCAGAAGTTTCCATGTCCCACTCCCAGCCACTGTGGGAGCCAGCACAGTGAAGGTCACTGCTGAAGTGAGCCTTGTTAAAAGCAAAACAAACAAACATCTTCCTGCAGTTCAGTGGGCTGTGCCTTCCCTGGCAGCTGCATGGTGTGGTGGTAACGGTGCCATGGCAGGACCATACCGCCGGAGGTGAGGGAACACTGAAGCCAGCTGCATCACTGAAGTATAACCACATAGCCTAACTGCAAAGCTGCCACTAATTACAGTCCTGGAGCGTACTCCCAAATGGCTACTAGATTTGGCTGGGCTGGTCAGGCAAGCACATGGTTTGAGGTTCCTGTGAGAGCAGAATCCCCTCATGTCGCTAGTTTCAGGCCATGAATGCCTATTCCTGTCCAGCAAAAGAATATTTGAGGTTTTCCTTATGCAATCTTGGGCCCCTGAATGCCTCAGGCACTTCAGAGAGGAGGTGCTAGGCATTGGTTCCACTCACACCACTTTTGGCTGGCTGGGACTATGGGACCACCAGCACGTGCTGCAGCACGGTGGCCTCAGCTTCACACTGTGCCTGTGCAAAGCTGAGAGGCACCGCTCCAGCCACGTGCTCATACCCTGACAGCTTCCCCAGCTGCCTGCTTGGGTGTTATTGATGAAGGCTGTCTTGGGCAGAACAGACCATGCGTTCATACACTTCAGATGTTCTTCCAAGCTCTGTAAGGTCCACACCCACATCTGGTGCAACATCTGCTTGTGGGAAAACACATCCAGTGGCAGGGAGGTCCCTAAAGTGGCAGTAAGGCCATTAAACTGTTTTAAAACTGATTAGTTGGCTAGCCTGGCTCAAAGCATGAACAAAGATACTCTCTGGGGGCTTACATATTTTGGATGCTAACAGATGTGCCCAAAGCTCAGGGAGATCAGGAGGTCATGATAAAGCTCATATGCATTTGTGACAGCTTTCAATTACCTGTTGATCAGAATGAGAATGTTGGCCTTCCTCAGGGGTCTGGTTCACTAAACCACTCTGCTCTGTGCCACAGGTTATGTCATCTGATTGTATTTATAATTCTTTTCAATGTTGAGTTCTTAGTGCTTGTCAGGTGTAGTTTCATGGCTTCACTTTCAGAAAGTGAAGCCTTTTTGTTTCTGAAGCTACCATTTGAAAAGCTGAAGAAAAGCCCGAGCCAGTGTGTGTTCAGAGACCCCCCCCACCCCAGACCATCTACTTAAACACCGCAGCAGCTTGAACTCTCCAGAGCTATATCATCCTTTTTTCAACATGTCTCAATTCCAAATGATGGTAGAAGCCCCAGAAAAAAGAATAAAAATAACAGCTGAAAGGAAAAAGGAGAGCTTTAAAAACCCCAGGATCTTAACTTCTGACATTGCTCTGAGCAGGCGTTGTCATACTCATACTCCACATCAGAAGCACGTTCAAACTTGACGTGTGTTCAAATATGTTTTGTGTTATTTCAGATTCTGGTTAGAATAAATTAAATCATTTTTTTTTGGAACATCAGTATGACACTGCATGTGACTTTTTACATTCCAAGGTAACTGAGATTTTGGAAGTTTGGCTGCACTCATCAGACCTCATTGGGCTAACTGCCTCTAAGAGTGAAGTCTTGGCATCACTTATTTCCAAAAGTAGGCCTGATTCAACCTCTAACTTATAGTGCACTCCAACTTCCAGCAGCGCACTGAGTAGTGTGCCTGCATTTTCCTCTCCTCCTTGTGCCCCTACAGCCCCAGAGGAGCTGATTGATCCTCAGCAGAGGAAGTTGTTGCAGATCAGCTGATGAACAGCACCTTGCTGGGCTCCCAGCTGCTGGCTCCCACTGTTTCAAGGCTACAGAAACCAGGAGATAGGTATTTTGGAGAAGTCAGATACTGGGCTTCCCGGCACAACTCTGGTTCCTGGTGTCTGCTCAGTTTGAGACTGAGCAGACCCAGAAGCTGTGAACACTGCCTCGGGATGATGTGGCCTCCCAGCATTGCCAAGGGTAGTTCCAAATGTCCATATCTGAGCTGCTGGCCCTCTGTCACAGGTCACTCTTCCCAATAAATCTTACCTGGATCCAATCTTCTTCATTCATTGGTGGTTTGTTTGGGTTATTTTAAAATACAGTAAGTTTATAGATTAATAGATTCTATAGATTAATTGTATAAGAAGCCATTTTTGGAAACTCTTATTTCAGAAGGATACAATCAGGAATTATTTTCATGTGGTGGAGAGAAGGACAACAGACATGAACATGCTCCAAATGGGTAATGCTTGGTAAAGTTTATTTCCACAAGAGGGCTGGTAAGGTGAGCAGACAAACAATTTACTGGCACATACAAACCTTATCTGTCTGTTGCTTTGAAATACTCTATGCTAATTTGCTTATAGTAACTTCCTAAATTATCATCATCCTGATTATCATCATTCCTAAATTATCATCTCTCAGTAACTGCTCTCACACCTCTCATTTTGATAGATGACTTTTCCTTTAACTATAACGTAGATGATCAATGCTTCATGTCCCCCAAACTGGTAAATCAAGTGCTCCCACCTAAAAAGACAAGATGTATGAGAATATCCAGACTTGTATAAAACAGGTCACATACCTAGTACACCTGGCAACTATAAAAGATTTGCTTGAACCATGGGAAAACACTATTCCATGTCTACATGTTGACTTCTTTTTGCATGAGTACAGTGAGTTCATGTACAAATGATAGTGATCATCACTACCACTGCAGTGATATGACAATGGGTAATGGCTTTAAACTGAAAGAGGGTAGATCTAGATTAGATATTAGGAAGAAATTCTTGGCTGTGAGAGTGGTGAGACACTGGCACAGGTTGCCCAGTGAAGCTGTGGCTGCCCCATCCCTGGCAGTGTTCAAGGCCAGGTTGGACGGGGTTTGACCAACCTGGTCTAGTGGAAGGTGTCCCTGCCCATGGCAGGGGGATTGAAACTAGATGAGCTTTAAGGGCCCTTCCAACCCAAACCATTCTATGATTCATTTTATGATTCAGAATCAATATAAATTCTTTCCATGATATAAACAGGTATTACTTTTAGATAAGTTGTAATCAGGTGTGGATTATTTGTAATATTAGTGCCAAAAGTCCTAGGCTTTATTTTCCACTGGAGTGATTAAGGAGAGTGAAAGTGGGTCTAAAATGCTAGTGGTATTCCTTTTTTCAGACGAAAGTAACTTCTAAAGCAGGAGGAGTTCACTGACATCTCCGCTATCCAAACATGGTGAAAACCAGTTCCTTATGTTAAATCACATTTCAGATGGCAACAGAAGAACAAACCTTGATGAATTTATGATCACAAGATCCCCCTGCTTGCCCGTCTCTATGGAGCCATGCGTATCCGATTTTCCCAGAGAATAAGCTGCATTAATGGTGGCAGCTGCCAGTGCTTCATTCATTGACATCTTCATGTTTACACAGGCCAGATGCATCACCACAGGCTAGTAGACAAGTTAAGTGGAAAATGGGAGTTATGAGTAACACAAATAAAGCTGTTCATGCCTCA